GGAATAGATGGTATACCAACTGACATATTTCAGCTAACAGATGCTGCCCTGGATGTGCTCACCAAGTTGTGCCAAGAAATCTGGAGAACAACCACTTGACCTACTGACTGGAAGAGATCGATATTTATTCCCATTCCAAAGAAGGGTGATCCAACAGTGTGGAAACTATAGAACAATCTCATTGATTTCACATGCAAGCAAGATTCTACTGAAGATTATCCAAAAACGACTGGAACAGCACCATTTAAATAGGTTTTCAGAAAACATACAAATCAATACAATGTTTATGGCCATATATACACAAAGTAAAACTATAAAAGCATAAACAGAAAGGCTATTTCCAAATCAAACTCAGCAAGATAATAACATTTGTTGGATTTCAGTGGTGTATAGTCTTCTCAGTTGCATGCTATGCCTCAGAGAACTGGACAATGACTAAGGATGACAGAAGAAGAATTGATGCCTTTGAGCTATGGTGCTGAAGTACTGAACACACATAGAGAGCTAGGAGACGGGGAAACCAAGTTTCTCCTTGGAGGCAAGGATTTTGAGGCTCCCTTTCACATACTTTGGGCATGTGGCCAGTAAGTACCAGTCCTTGTAGAAGGATATCATGTGTGGAAGGGTGGAGAGGGACAGGAGGAACAGCGCAGGAGAGGAAGACCCCAGATGAGATGGATTGACATAATAACTGGGATGATGGAGTCAGTGAGACTGGCTAAGGACAGGACAGGCTGCAAAGATGTTGTACATAAAGTTATTATGAGTCGTGGCAACTCAACTACTCCTAACAATACCACCACGAATGGATAGATTATTTTGTACTGCACTGTCCCTAAAGATTCATAAAGGGGTTGGTTTTCCCCCCTTTTTAATGAAAAGACCTAGGCATTTAGAATTAAAGAATTCCAAAGCTGTAGAATCAATTCCAGCTTCCAGTAACCAGAAGGACAGAACAGTAATTCTATGCCCCATGGGGCTTCCAAGGCTACAGGTCTTTACAGAAGCAGATGATTTACCATACCTTTCTGTCCTGGTGTGCCGGAGGGGTGGGTTCAAACCACCAATCTTTATGTTAGCAGCCAAATGCCTTAACCACTGGGTCACCAGGGCTCCTGAAAAAATAAGGGTAACGTGGTGGGGGGAGAGGGGGATAAATGGCTGGCGGCATTAATCCACAGAAAGGATGATCTCCTGGGATGAGATTAGGAGGGGGGGCTGAGTTCTGATTCCAAGGATTATGAGGATTAATTTGGATAATCCCCCCTCTAACAATCACCTGGCCAATATCCTCACCAGCCCTGGGCCTTCAGAGGGGCATCTCTGGATCATACTTCACCCTACGCCCACACGCTACCTACAACTGGTATGGCCAGGAATTTACTATACTTAGGTCCTGAGAATAGACTATTTCAGGTCTCCTCTGAATGATCTTCAAGTTCAGGGTGAACGATGACCTGCACACTAGGACCCAATGAGAGATCAGTCTTGATACTCAGGCTCATAGCTCTTCAAGGAGAGCCTGGGTCTTGGATGCCAGAGTTAACCACAGCCTCCCTTCTCCTTCCTCCATCAGTCAAGGGACCAGCAGTCAAGCTGGCTGTTAACGGGACTCTGCATATTGAGCCAGACTGGATGGAGCTGTGCTAAGGCCAAATGAACAATCGACCACTCTCTCTGTGTGTCCAGCTTCTCTGCCCACTGCCGGCCCATTTCTACACCCTGCTCCTCAGTTCCTCACGGGCTGGATGTCTATGAAGCTCCTCCCAAAGCGATTGGGTGGGCTTGTTCAACAGCCTTTCCCCAGAACAGATCATCTTGGCCACAGGATCTGGAGTAGAACCTCATCCTCTGAGGAGCAGGTGAAACACTTCAGTTTCTTATCTCTCAGAGCTGTGGGTGGAGAGCAGACAGAAGAATTAATACGTAATAGTCAGCCCCATATGTATGAAGCCACATTTATTTATTTTTTTAATTTTCTACTAGTTTATTTACAAAATTCAAATACAAATTTGAGCAAATTCTTTCCATTTACCTCACTCCCCCCTCAAATTGTACAACCGGATTTTCCCCCTGCACATCCACATCCGTCTCCTTCCAACCTCTCTCACCCCTCTTGGATCCTTACTCATTCTACAATAATGGTTTTATACAATATTTATCCTTGTGGGACTGAGTGAGTTCACTCAGGATAATGCTCTCCAGTCCCTCTCAAGTTACATAATAATTTACTAAATCATTGCTCCTGCGTGCTCCATAGTATTCCATTGTGTGAATGTACCATAATTTCTCAATCCATTCATTTATGGTTGGACATTTGGGCTATTCCCATGTTCTTGCAATGGTGAATAATGCTGCTATGAACATTGATGTACAAATCTCAGTTTGTGTCTCAGTTCTCATATTCTTGGGGTATATTCCAAGTAGTGGAATAGCTGGGTCAGATGGAATTTCTATGTTCTGCTTTCTCAAGAAGCGCCAGACTGCCTTCTATAATGGTGATACTATTTTACAATCCCATCAACAATGTATAAGAGTTCCTTTCTTGCCACATCCTCTCCAACATTTATTACTTGCTGCCCTGTTAAACTTTGCCACTGTTACTGGAGTGAGATGGTATCTCATTGTGGTTTTGATTTGCATCTCTCTTATTGCCAGTGATTTGGAGCATTTCTTCATGTGTCTGTTTGCCATTCGAATGTCGAAGTCACATTTTAAAAGATAATGCCAGATGGTTGGGAAATTTATCTTTGTGGAAAGGTAAAAAATTGGTCCCTGCAACCTGAGTGCCTGCTGCTGTGACAGGAGGACATGACTATGGGAGGGCACACAAGGGGACAGGTAGGTAGGTATTAGGAAAGGTGCCGGGCAAAGACCAGTTTCCTCCCCACCCCCAAGCACAACAATATAGTGGAGGGTTGTGAACCTGAGAACCAGTGGGGATGAACAGACAGTATACAACCATGACCTTGACCTTGTGAATGGCTGTGCAAGAGTCCTGACTGGTATGTGCCCGTTGTTTAGGAATTTCCCATTTCTTTTCTGGACAGCTCTGGTGGCTCTCAGGTTCTCAAGCTGTTATGGATTAAATTGTGTCTCCCAAAAAATGGTATGTTGCAGTCATAACCCCTATACCTTGGGAATGTTTGAAAATAGGGTCTTTGAAGATGTTACCAGCTAGATTCACCTGAGGTCATAGAAACAGGAAGGCACATGACACCCCAACCATAATCCAAGGGAATCCCTGAGTTTCCAGAAGAGAGAGGCCTGGAACATTCTGTCAGAGCTGCAGAAGGCAGCAACTCTGCCAACACCCTGATCTCAGTCTGTCAGCCTCCAAAACGCAAGACAGTAAATGCCTGTTCATCTGAGGCATCCAGTTTGCGGTACCCTCTCAGGGCAGCCCTGGGCAATGAATGCACAAAGGTCCCCACTGCCTTTGGGACGGAGAGCTGAGAGACGTGAGGACAGGTGTCTGGTCAAGATACACCAGCACACGGTGACATTCTCTGCTCGATTAAGCGAAACAAGCCCTCTGGACTTCCTAACCTCCTTTTACAAGACAAGACGTGGGCTGGGAGGGAGGGAGAAAGCTCAGGGCTGCAGAGCGGGGAGAGAGGAGGTCCTGACTGCGGGGGAGGCCGGGGTCACAGGTATCGCTCCTACATAGGACTCTGGCTCAGAGGCTTGCGGGGTGGGGTGGGGCGAGGAAAGCACAGAGGGTCAGGGTCTCAGGGCAGTGTCCTATCCCAGGCCATGGCTTCTCTCCTCCCGCCCTCAAGACACTCAGGGGTCGAGAGACCACTGGACTGGTCCGCCACTGGCTGGGGACGCCGGCCTTGCAGGTGGAAAGAAACACGTGGCGTCAAGTCAGCACATTGGGAAGAAAGGGGCGAGGCACATTTGTCCATCTCTGTCCATCTGTCCATCCATCGTTGCGCAGCCAGTGTGCCGTGAAGGAGGTCAGGACCCACCGCAGGACGGGGTCCCCTCGTGCCCTCTGGGGCAGCCGGTCACTCCTGCGCCCCTCGCCGGTCCCTGGCACACCCGGCC